GTGTTGTCAAATGCACTAACTTAAAGATGCCCTAGTATCTCTCTGGAAAGTTCTACCTGAAGGTAAGTATTAAACCAAAACCACCTGTCCCCTCTCTCCCTGAGAGAGATCTTCTAACAAAGCTTTAGGAGATCTCAGGCTATGCACAGGCCACTCGCTAACCACTCTCGCCCACTTTCCTAGAATCACCCCTACAGGATCGATTTCCACTCTTCTTTCTCCTCACTCTCTTCTTTGGCTGGTTTATCTAACTTTATGATTTTACCCCATAAAGTTAGTCAGTCACCTGCTTTTTAATTAAAAAAAAAAGAAACTTTGCAGAACTACCATCTTCCCCTAAAGTGTCCCCCATTAAAGTTTGTATTTAATAACGGAAGTTGCCCACGTCTTGACTTTTTTCAGATATGACAATGGATGATGTTCGGGAATACGAGAAAAACATGCATGAACAAACCAACATAAAAGTTTGCAATCAGCACTCCTCCACTGTGGATGACATAGAGACCCATGCACAGACCAGTGTATGTAGACTGTTCAAAGCGCGTTGCCCACCCTGTGGGAGACAGACACGGAAACCCATCTGTCAGGCCCTAAAAACTTGGGGTCCCCAGCCTTCTGTGAAAACACAACCTCTCCCAGAGACTGTGGGTAAAGGTGCCCCCCACCCCCAGTCTTTGAGTGGGCTGTGTCAGTCACCTGGGTCTTCCAGATCGTTCCATTCTTCAGTGGCTTCACTTCATGGCTAACCCAGTCATAAAACCCAGGACACAGAGAGTGGAAACATTTGGGGGTACCTGTCAGATGGCCTGCACCAATCACAAAGTAACATAGGAGCAATAGTGGGTGTCAAATGTAAAGCGGATCAAATGTCCAACTTTTCAAGGCATAGAGTTGGCACTTTTATTCCATGGAGGGCTTTGCTCTTCAGCTGTGTTAGTCTCTGAAAGGCTTTCTAGAACTCTTTCAGGCTGTTCTACTCAATCCATTCCTTTTGATTCAGGCTAATCTCCAGAGTAAGCTACAATCTGTGCACACACACATGCCTAGTGGTGGAGGGGTGGTGAGCTGAGATTTAGGGGTGCTACATAGTAGATCTAGCCTAGGACTTATCAAAGGCCTTAGAAAGCCCTGGGTTATTGACAGCCTTGGGTTACTGAGAACTGACTATATGGTGTACAGCAGAATTTAAATACGTAGTTATCTCTTGGTCAGTTGTGCTAACAAAGAGGCGGTATAGATAACAAAGGACTTATCACTGAATTGTTACCTAGGTCTCAGCCAGATCTCTTATGTGTGATCTGTCTGGGAACAGCAGGTTGAGATCTTGTGTTTGCCACACCCAGACCCTAGGATAATATTTATGAGATACTTGAAAACTCAAGGGCACATTTATTACATGGCTGCTACTTTTATTTTGTTTTGTTTTATTTTTTAAGAAGTGAGAATGTAGGGTCTAGAGTCAGCTCAGCAGTTAAGAGCACCTGCTGCTCTTGCAGAGACCTGAGTTCAGTTCCCAGTGCCCACGACTTCCTATAACTGTAGGTCCAGGGTATCCAGCGCCCTCTTCTGTACTAAGCAGGTATTGTATGCACTTGTGAACACACATACACACACACACACTAAATAAATACATAAATAAATAAATGATTAATCCCTTTTTAAAAAAGAAATGAGAGCACAATTACAGAACTTTGAGAGGTGGCTGTTGTGACGAAGGCTCTAGAATTGGAAGACCTTCTGGTAATGTTTTGGAAATGTTTAGTTAATTTTTTCCCAGCATGATTTGGACTGTGCCCTGCCAGGCTAGTGCACGCCATTGGCCACTGGATGCATGTGACCGCCTGTGAGCCTGAGAGTGGGCTGGCTCCGCCTTCCCCCTGTCGCGCACACGCTGATTGGGGTTTGCAGAATACCGCGATTGAAGCAAGAGTTGTTGAAGGTTTGCCCCGATTTTGATCAGATACCTCCCCACCTCTCCTTTTTTTCCTGTTCTAAAGATAGGAATGTTCTTTTAAGGAAACTGTTCCAGAACGTTCCTTGCTTTTGATTACCTTTTCTCCTAGGAATGTCAAACACAGTGCCATCAACTGCTCTGAAGGCTGTTCTCTAGAAACACAGACCAGACAAAGAAAGCTACAGGGGAGGGAGGGACAAGGGATGCCTGAAGGGCACTGAGCACTACTGTTTTCAGGGTCTAAGCCAGAGGTGGTGTTTGAGAGCTGAGACAGGAGAATTGCCTTAAGTTGGAGGCCAACTTGAGCTATATTATGAGACCCTGTCTCGGTGGGGAGTCGGGGGCGGGCGGAGCTTACAGCTTAAGGCTTTTGCATGTGTTCTTTCTGTTTTAACTCAGCATTGGCATTAAACTGTATAGAGAAAGATGATAACTCAGAATGCGCCCCCACTTATTCTCTGGCTGTAAGAAACCCATTGTCACCATGATTGATGCATAATGGTTGTCTTTCTTTGGGATTCCATGAGATCGTGGGTCATCTGTTATGTTGTTGTTACTGTTGTTTGTTGTTTGTTTGTTGCAATCGCATTTTTTTTCCATAACGAAAAAAAAATGGTTAAAGGCGAGAGGCTGTACCACAAATAAGAAGTGTGTGGATAGGCCAGCAAGATGGCCTATCAGGGAAAGTCCCTCACCGTACAAGCCTAGTGAGCTGAGTTAATTACCAGAGCCCAGTTAGAGCAAATTGGCTCCACATGTACACAGACACGCACCCTAAAATTTAAAAGTATCTTTTAAAATGTGTAATTAGTAATAAAGCCACATAGCGAGGCTAGGGATGTAACGCGGTTGGCAGAGTGCCGGCCATGTGCAGAACCCTCCATCCCCAACACCATATAAACTGTGCCTGGTGTAGAAATCCCAGCTCCGGGGAAGTAGAGTCAGGAAGATCAGAAATCCAAAGTTATCCTCAACTACATAGTGAGTAAGAGGCCAGCCTGACCTACCCAAGAGCATATCAAATAAAAAATTAATAATTCTAGCACCTTCACGGGTGGTAAAATGAAATTTAAATTTTCACCCTGAACATGGATAAGTTAAATTGGAAGTAAGCAAAATTAACATCCATGAGCACAATAAAGAAAAAAAAAAAAACAGTCCAGTTTGACAGTTGAGAGGTTTCAAAGCCTCCAAGGAAGAGACTCTGGAGGTTTTTTTGGTTTTATTTTTGTTTTTTTGTTTTTTAAAATTTAAATTCTGTGGTGTATCGTTTCTGCCCCCTGCTGGAAACATACAATATCACAACATTTCAGCAACTTGTTAACCAAGTAATTTTTCAAAATTGCTATCCATTTATTAAAGATATATCCTAGTTCACTAAAATTCTCCAAGTAAATGCTGCTTTAAAGAGCTGAGTCTAATTTATTCATTTAAAAGTGGTAAGTTGGTAGGTATGATTTTTCTTAAAATCATGTAAGATTTATATTATGTCAACACAATTGTTCTTATCTCCCTTGTGAAAACTCTTTCCTTTCAGGAATTTTTTTAAAAATTTCATAGGGAAATGGTCACAGATTTAATTTAATAGCAAGTGTTTTCTGAGCCAGGCATGATGGTTCATGCCTCTAATCCCTGCACTTGGGAGGCAGGTAGTTCTGGGCTTTGCAGACCTAGAGCCTGGTCTACGAAGAAAGTTACAGGACACTTGGGGCCACAGAGAACACTCCCCCCCCCCCCAAAAAAAAGTGTTTATTGTTTTCTTTGTTCAGATGTTATGAAACCCAGTGGTGTAGTTTGATGGGACACCGCCTGTCTGGCATACTCAAGTCCCTAGATTTGATCCCCAGCCACACAAAGATCACCTAATGATTAGCATGGGTTGTTCATTCCACATTCAACACTTCAAAGAGACCCGAACCACTGAGACTACGGAAGAGGACCAGAAGCAATGAATAAGAATAGATAAACAGACCCCATGGGCTCTGCTCTACCCCAAGGCAAAGCCTTCACTTCAGGCTTATTTTGATATCTCCATTTTCCCTGTTACTCTATCCCCAGTGAGAATCACCAGAGAGTTCCAGGAATAGCCAGACTGACAGTAATTCCTAATAACAATAAGTGTCTACAAGACATCTCAGTGAGTAAAGGTGCTTGCCGCCCAGCCTAGTGACCTGAATTTGATCCCTGGGACCCACATGGTAGAAGGCAAGAGCCTTAACTCTAGAAAGTTGTCCTCTGACTTCCACATACTCTCCCCCAATGCTGGAGCTACAGGTGGTTGTGAGCCATCAGATATGGGTGCTGGGAATTGAACTCTGGTCCTCTGGGAAAGCAGTGTGTGCTCCTAGTTGCTGAGACAAATAAAGCCTCGAGTTCTGAGGCTAAGAAAGATGAAAAGTTCCAATGTTATGCGTGAATTTACCTTCTAAAGCAACCTGGCTCTTTTGTGATCTAAGCTTGATAGTGATGTTGTCAAGGCCACTGATTGCTTTAATGACCTTCTTTGTATGGAGGATGTGGCCCAGTCTTATAAAAGCCTCATGTACCCGTAATAGCAAAACACACACACACACACACACACACACACACACATTTTTAATGCGTACTAATTGGACTAATGAGATGGCTCACCGAGTAAAGGTAGCCACTGCTGCCAAGCCTGTCAACCTGAGTTCAGCACAATGAACTGAGGACCCAAATGTCGGAAGGACTGAATCCTGAAGGTTGCCCTCTCTCTTCCGAGATGCAGCCGCCCACCACACACAGCAAATAAAGGGTATTTCAGTAATTCCTGAATACTTACTGAAGTGTCCTTTGAAAAATCTTGGGTTGATATCCAAAAAAGAAATGTTCTTTTCGGGGATGTGTCTTAGTAACAAAGATGGGATAGGAAAAAATAAAAATCAAACAGGGTTTAATATTTCAAAGACAATTCAGGTTTGTAATGGGTATGGGTTGGCTTCATGGTAGCTTCCCCAGATTTTGCTATAAACCCTTTTGCTGGTCTGAACAGTAACTATTGTTCTCTCTGCTTTTCTCTTTGAAGACATGACAATGGATGAAGTGCGAGAGTTCGAACGAGCCACTCAGGAAGCCACCAACAAGAAGATCGGCGTTTTCCCACCGGCCATTTCTATCTCCAGCATCGCCCTTCTGCCTTCCTCGGTGCGCAGCGCCCCCTCCAGTGCCCCGTCCACCCCTCTCTCCACAGATGCGCCAGAATTTCTGTCCATTCCCAAAGACCGGCCCCGGAAAAAATCTGCTCCAGAGACGCTCACACTTCCAGATCCGGAGAAAAAAGCCACCCTGAATTTACCTGGCGCCTACGCTTCTGAAAAGCCATGTCGGCCCAAATCAGAGTAACTCCGTGTGAACATCCCGTTGGGTCCTTTATTTTCATTTGAGGCTTTTTTTTTTTTTTTAAATCCTCTGGTCGAGGAAAAGACTGCCTCTTCACTCAGATGTGTTCTTGGATCTCAGATTGTGCATGTGGTTAAATAATCTCACAGATAGCAAGAAGCCCTGCGTGTGCCACACAGCATCATAGTGAGTGTGAAAAGTACGATTTAGAAAAACAAAACAGGAGGGGCTGAGGACAGAGCTCAGTGGGTGGAGCTGCTGCAGCTACTGTGGGTTCCAGCCCAGCAATGGGAAACTAGGCAGGAGGATCAGAAGTTCAAGGTCAACCTCAGCTAGATACAGAGTTTGAGGCTAACCTGGGTTATATGAGACACTGTCTCAAGAACAATTAAAACCCACAGAATTGTCTCTAGCTTTAGAAGTGGGCCAAGGAGGAAGCCTTGTTTAGGGGGCCTTGATGAATCTGATGCTGCCCTCAATGGTAAAAGGGTGAATGGATGAGAAAACTTTTCTTTCTTTCTTTCTTTTTTTTTTTTTTTTTTTTTTTTGGTAAGGTGTGGAAAAATAATGATGTCAGTTTCCTCCCATCAAACCTGAAATTCTCAACAACAAAAAGAAAAAAAAAAAAAACTCTCAGGTGTCACATGCCTAATTGTTACAATTTGGGACTGCTGACCACCAATACTTGAATTCCAGTTGTACTCAATATTCCTATTTTGATTTAGTCTGACTCAGGATTTGGAGCCTGATTAACTTCTTAAATTTTTGAAAATTTTAATAACCAACTTCTAGAGGCTCCCAGTACAATTAACAATAATGTCTTTATACCTTTTCACAAAATTTAATAAAGCAGCCATCTGTTTGAGTCTCTTCACTAACCCCTCTGTGCCCTGGTGGCTTCTCAAATCTTTTAAGACTTTCCAGGATGACTTATGACCACAACTAATATAATGTGGAATGTTCCGGAAACAGAGAGCCCCAGGTGAGATAGACATCTTCTTTTCAGGTACCTACAAAGCTTGACCTGTGAGCTTCATCATCCATAACAATTCCCAGAAATCTCAACGAGCTGAGTAGACTTCATTGACAGTCTCCCACTTGAGAAAGTTCAGGGTAGACTAAGTGACCTGGGCTTAAACACTGTCTAAACCATGAAAAAGAGAAGCCATCCCTCCTGGTTTACTCTTAGTAACATCCAGACATCCCTGGAATGGGTTGCCCATCACTGGGCTTTAGAAAACATTACCATTCTCTTACACCTTCCTTATAATCTACATATTGGGGGCCAGGGTGTAGCTCAACTGTAGAGTTCTTACCTAACATGCAGGAGGTCCTGGGTTCAGTCCCCAACCCTGCAAAAAGGAAATAATCCAGATATTGGCTGTGTCCCAGGAATCCAGTAAATACAAGCAAGCAGAAGGAGGTGAGGAGGGGAATCACAGGCTCCTGTTTGTACAGAGGTGTGGTCATAAATACCCCTTTTGTCTTACTCCTGTTGTTGAATGAAGGGGACATGTTTGCCAGAATCCAGGCTGACAGCTAGCAAGGTCAGTCAATCATCAAAATGACAGAAAAAGAAATCTGTCACCGTTGCACCTCACTGCCTTGAAACCCACAAGGAAAGCAAGCAGATATAGCAATTTGAAACAACAGGTAGCTGGGGAGCTCCAGAGCCCAAGTCCTTGCTATCCCTTCCTGACTCATGACCTTCAACCTCAGGAAAGGAAATGGCCCTCAATACAGATCCCAAAGGAAACAAAACAGACCAAGGAGTGTACTCCCCTTCCCTGACTCCTCCCAGCCGATGAACCCTGCCCACACCCTCTCTTGGGTGTTCCACATTCTGCAATGTCTTCTGGGTCCATGCCCTCTCCCACATCACAGATGCTGGCCCCCCGAACCCAGCACCAAAGTCTTTAGAGTGTCTAGATTATTTCTTCGTCGATAGATGGACATTGCGCTCCAGTACTCAAAGGAAAGCAATTACAAATAGCTTGTCTGTCGTAACAGCGCATCTTTTCCTTAAGGTGACAGTACCGTAGTAGGGTACCCTTCTTTGCATGGTATGGAAGCATGAATCTTGCTTGTGGGAAAACCATAATCTTTTCTCAAACCCTTTGAAATCCTCTGTGGCTCCCTCACCACGCAGCTGTACCCAATGAGAATGTCTGGCTTTAAAAAGCAAAATTCCACTTTCAGAAGACTCGGGGTTCGTGTATGTATCTGCCTACCATTTGCAAGCCGATTCGGGCTGGGGTGGGCTCATCGGTTTTCATGCAGTACAAGCTGATTTTGCACAGGTGGCTAACCCATCTGGCACCTAGTTTTTCCAGTAACACCATGCCACCCTTTCTTTCTATACCAGCTTCTATTGTCAAGATCAACAATCTGGTTCACTTTTAAAAGCTACAGTCTTAATCCCTTTCTGTGAGTTTTTTCTCCTTCGTAGTCAGCCCAGGACCTTTGACACCAACTGCAGCGCTAACCTATGATAGTGTGGTTCTTAACCAACACGTATGTGTTTAGTTTTCCTGTGTGTCTATGTGTGGTTTGTGTGTGTGGGATTCTGGATGTATTTCATTAGCTGCTTTGAATAGTTAATCCAGTCATCCCAAAGCGTAAATGACTTCGACATTTTTTCTGAATCTTGATTTCCAAGTGTCGTTTCGCCTTGTCTTTACGTGAATCTGTTATTGTGGGATCCAAGCCTTCGAGGAATGTGTATATAGAACATGAGTAATTCTTGTGAGGATGGAAACAAAATGGCTGCATGACGGAAATTTAGGAAGACAAAAAATAAATAAATAAATAAATAAATAAAATAGCAGAAACTTGAATTGCTAAGCATGTTTGAGGGGGAAGTAGTATCCTTAACTCAGTGCCTACGTCTGCCATGTGAAATCCTTCAGCTTTGTTCACCAAAATTGTATCATACCTGTACATATATATACATGTATAAAATGCAGTATAGCAAGTCACACACCGCCAGTTCTAAGTCTCTGGTGGTCAAACCGAAATAGTAACCCATAGGATAATACATGTGTTCACCCCTCTTCATCTCTGACGGCAGTGGATGCCGCTAACATGGCCATACGTGTCTTGACTCCAGGTGGCTTCCAAATAGGAAATACCCCTGCGCTCTTGCTGTGGCACGGCAGCATTGCTTTGTCTGCGCTTTCCTGGGTCAAGGTTCTGTGGTGTTTTTATTGCATAAAGTTTGTCTGAAACCGCCCCCGAGGACCGTTTCCTTTTGCACTGCAGTAAGAGAGAGCAAAGGAGAAAGAGAAACTGTGACATTTTTTGTTCAGTTTGTTGGTGGATTGTTTATAAACTCTGCTGTCATGGCTTTGCATCTATGTGGGGACTGTCTTAACTTATTCACTGGCATATGTCAGCCGTAGTTTGGGGTGTGGAAATAAGTTAGCTCAATTGTGGATGTCATAAAAACACACACACACACACAAGCAAAGGCTGTCAAAATAGCTTAGAGGGTCAAGGCACTTGCCACCAAATCTGACAACCTAAGCTCAATCCCTACGTCTCACATGACTGAAAGAAGGAGCAGTTTCTCACAGGTTGTCCTCTGACCTCCATACATGTGCAGTGGTATACACACATACAGGCCTGAATGCATGCATGCACATGCACACACATGCACACACATACACACACAAAATTTTAAAAATAAAATACACAACCACCAATAATACCCCAAAAGTAATCATGTGACTTTCTTTCATGGCCCATAATGGACCTTAAACCAAAAGACAGCTTAATAAAAACCCTCTTCAATGAAAATTTCAGGACTAATGTGTTTATGAATCTTTTCAAATTTCACTTCCTTTAGTATCTTGTCAATGCTATGAGACTACAGTGTAACAGGGTACCAGCTGGCTCAGATTGATGAGAACTTTGTCTTTGAAAAAGGCCAGCACAGAATTGACCACCCTTTCAATCTATAAGCAGATAGTCCCATGGAGAGCGACTGTCTAAATGATTTCCATACTTTTCTGGTCACCTGACTAGTGGGCTAGATGACAGTCTGCCATCTAAGCCATAGTTGTAAAAAATAAAATAAAAATCCTGGCCTGGTCTGTAAGTTGATATGTATAAACTATATTGAGCTCTTTATTCTTGATGAGACCAAAGTGTCACACCATTGCATTGTGTTGACACCACAAACAGATGCAAGAAACCTTGGGTTCTTCTGTATTCTGTATTTTGTATTCCACCTCCAAAGTGGTCTGTCTGAGACTGATATCTTACTGGTCAAGATCCATAGGACTTCATGATGTAAGAGGGTGTGAATTCATGGAGAACTTCACAGACGATGCTCCTTAACTGTAACTCCATTTTAACAAATACTTAGGATAGGCCTCCCCACCTTCTTTCTTTTCGAGTTCAGTCTGTATCTGTGGAATTTCAAGTCTCCCTTTCGGTTCTCCAGTGTCCTTGAGAAGAGAAGAGGTTCTTTTGAGTTGATGTTATATACATCCTGGCCAGTGTCATTTCAGAGTTTACATTTTTGAGCTGAGATCTTGATCGGCTAACTTAGTCAAAATACCACTGCCACCACTGAAGGACCAAGTGTTGGAACACACAGTGTCACAAGCAACGCAAGCGGAAGTGACCCTCACACACACAACCCTCTGTGTCCTTTTATGGCTGTTCTGTCCTCAATGCCCATTCCCCCATTATTTATTATTGTTAATAACTTACTTTTTCTTACATTCTGTTGTAAATAAAGTATGAAGCAATCTTCTTCCGAGTGTAGCTTCCTCTTTCTCAGCCAGTCTCAAGGGAACACTGGCCAATATTAACGTCAGTGGGAAAGTAGACAGGGCAAGGAAGGAAGAAGGCAATTACTGTACCCAGCTGTATGGCCTTGTGTGCAAGGATGCCTCTCCTACTAATCAGCATTTGGTGTCCTACACCCAAGACTCTTGGTAGGAAATTTCCCATGACCTTAGTTTTCCAATGGAAAAATATCCGAAAGAAAAGTCTATAACCCCATAACTGAGTGCATAGACTGCCTTTTCCACCTAGCAGGCACTTGAATGTCCCCAGAGTTTGAAATCACATAGCCAACAGGAATCCTTGGGAGTGCAAACCAGATTGGCTCTGTGTCAAGTTAAGTCTGGTGTGTGTGTGTGTGTGTGTGTGTGTGTGTGTGTGTGTGTGTGTGTACGCGCGCGAGACAGGATCTCTGTAATGTAGTCTTGGCTGTCCTGGAACTCGCTCTGTAGACCAGGCTATCGTCAAACTCTCAGAGATCCGCCTGCCTCTGCCTCCAAAGTGCTGGGAGTAGAAGGGCTAGCCGCTGCTTCAACTCATCTTATTTTTGTTTTTGTTTTTGTTTTAAGATAAAGTCTTGGGCTGAAGAGATGGCTCAATGGTTAAGAGCTCTCATTGCTCTTCCAAAGGTCCTGAGTTTAATTCCCAGCACCCACATGGCCACTCACAACTGTCTGATGCTGTCTTCTGGTGTGTAGAGTA